CTCCATAATTGCTCATTGAAATGTGCACAAACAGCACCAGAGCTCAGAGAGGCTATTTGCTCTGCAACACAGTTTAGGGAGCATTTAACCCTTTGCATGTGTTTTGTGAATTAGACATGGCTTTTGACCTTGTCATACAAACTGGCAGATGGCGTCTGTGGTGACATAGATTGAGAACTGGAGGGTCTCTGAGAGTCCTGATGAGGGTTAAAGCATTGGAATTGGCCTGGTTGTTGGAGAGGTACCAGTTCACTTTCGAAGATGCCCTTAAGCAAGGCATCAGACCCCCAACAACAAAGGGGTTCACCCACCCATGTGCAGCCTCTTCACTACGACGTCTCAACATTAATGCATGTCCAAAGGTTCTGCTAATGCATGTGTGTATTTCGGGCCTTTGTGTGTGAGTAGCATGACTCTCAAATAACAGAGTGTTAATGCAAATTACCCCTCAGGGATAAATCAAGTATGTTAAATAAAAAAATGAAAAATCACATCATAACATTATAACCAAAACCATACTATCTCACTGGGGAAGCTTGCCGGGAATGGAACATGGCAGGAAAGGAAGCACTGTAGGAATGTACTAAAGAGGTATTTAAGCGTGGAGGCTTTCATACTTGACCTTGGAAACACATGCCTGTGGTTCCAATTTCAAGGATCACTTGTTAGCATATTCACTAGCTTTGGATCGTATGCCGACGAATACTCGAGCCACTGGAACTTGCTCCAGTGTGACCACACCATCTTTCTACAGAAATCTGCTCCACTGGTCATGATATCTCCCATATGACAGCTTATAAAAAAATGATGCACATTCTTTCCCCCCCTTTAATCCTAAAAAATGTGCTATGGATTCTCATCCCGTCATACCAACACAGTGTCAGTTAAGGAACCAAACAATAATGGGGGTTAAAATAGTAAGACTGTTATTTGCCTGTTTGAAGTTATCCCTAGCTAGTATTGCTACTGATATTGTAGATTATTCATTTTATTTATTGTTGTGTTACATACACAATTACATACCTCCTCCTCCTCCAGCATGACTTGCCCAGGCACCATCCCTTACTGAACCACAGTCATTCAAATGCTTGAGAAAATATCTCACGAGGACCATAAGTCAATATAAAGTCAGTTTCTTAGTTTCCCTGGACGTCTGGAGTTTTTAATCACTCACGCTTTCCATCAGCAGAGTTCAGTTTCAGCTTTAAAGCAAGTATGAATTCTGAAGGGCTGGGAACACCAATTACAACACCAAGATGACACTCAAGGTTGATGAAGATCACGTTCAATTATGGACAGCCAAAGTTTATGGACGACTACATGGAGCACATAAAGAGGCAGTTTCTTGATTCTTAATATCATGAAGGACAAATCAATCAAAAACCACAATCTCGTCCTGCTTCCTTACTTTGGAATTGTGCAGCTAAAGTTGCAGATGAAGCCCCCATTTCAAGACAATTTTCTTTAAAACAGACCGCTTTTATGCTAACCTTAGATGTCCTGGCTTTGTTCAACAGCATTTCAGTCAATAGACCCAGGCTAGGAAAATAAACAGCTTAGTCAATACACATTCAAAGAGAAAACAGCAGTGCAGTCAATAGTCCCTCATCAAGAAAGCTTAAGGTTTTTGTTTTGCTTACAGTCTGTTCTGTGTTTTTTTTTCACCAATCCATGATGCAGGCACAAGGGATGCTACTACTTTTTATTTCATTTCTAGAATCATTTAAAATGTCTGTTTTATTCCCCTGGGATTCTTACTAAGGTAGAACAGTCTTGTAAATATTGCAAAGAAGATTGAGAAAAGCCACTTAACCCTGGGTAAGGATATCACAATATTATACCTTTTTATGGGGGGGTAACAGTAGGTGATTTGTTTTTTTGTTATTATTATGATTATGATCACATAAAAAAAAATCACTAAAAAAGCTTAGTTATAGTTAGCTACTTTTTCCATGTGGCTGTAGCTTAGCTTGCTAACTTTCTTCTTCTTTCTAACTTTGTAGTGAAGCTTAATTCTATGTGGAGTAACCAGTAACTTAGCTCACTACATTATTCATATAGCTTGCCCAACACTGGATGTACAGTCCTATCATGTTCAACCTATTGTTAGGAGCCAACCAGAGCAAAGTTTCCTTCCCAGTCCAACGCTGGCTTCATCTGTGACTCTCAGGGTGCGTTCGAATTGTCCCTCCTATCTCCTTTCATTATCCACTTTACCTTAACCCCGCGAAAACGTCATGAGGTTAAGGAAAGATGTTAGGAGAATTCATGAAGGACTTAGGGAAAGGCGATCTCGTTGCTCTGACAATCCGACCGCATTTACCACTAGGCGACGTCATTAAATGCGACGGGCCGGCGGAGGTTAATGACGTGGGGTCTGCCGTGTTGAAACTACAATGTTCCGAAAATGGACTACAAAAAACGCATCTAAAAAACTTTCCCCTGCGCCTTCTTGCCGGTGAAATAATCCTAATCACCACAAGGTTGGGATTGAAATAAAAGCAATATAGAATACCAGGCTACAAGTAAAAAAAGTGAAACCTTCAGCTTCCTGTCCAATCAGAAATCAACATCAACATAAATATGATTGTATGAAATTAATTGTTACGTTTATGCAAGATATACATAATGTTTTAAACATACAAATGTACAACTGCACAAAACATTCTTAAGTGAATGAAATATGTTGAATAAAACATCATCTGGATAAAAATGCCTCTTATCTTTTTATACCTCACATGATCTGTGTCACTTCATGATCATCGTTCATTTCCGTGAACGGTCGGATGCGCAACTCGCTTTAAATGTTGCGGCCGCAAGGAATTGTGGGGCGGCATATCTCATCTCCTTTGGTAAAGGATGGTCCAGTGTATCCTAAAGGAGGTTATAAAGGAAGCATTGACCCACCTTTCCTTAACTTTTAGAGAATTCGAACGGCTCTTATCATGGCCGCCACTTAAATACTTCTAGGGTTAAGGTAAAGTGGATAGTGAAAGGAGATAGGAGGGACAATTCGAACGCACCCTTAGCCTTAGCCATCAAATAGTAGAGAGACAGGCTATCTAGCTTCTTTTTCGCGGAAGGTATGTCATTGAACTAGTGCTGTGAAGTGAAACTGCTGCCCAAGTTACATAGTTCTGAAAACAGGCGACCATGGCGCTCTGTGGAAATGGGTTGGATGCCGTTCTTTGTGTTGTTAGATCCACGTTGTAACTGGCTCTTACAGTATGTTTGAGAAACAAGAAGGATGCTTTTTAATCATTTAATCAACATGGGGGATGGCACTGCTTCTTGTCTTCACCCTTAATCCCATAACTAGATATGTGTGTTGAATGTCTGCCAGTGTGTCATAAGAATCAGTTCATTTTAAAGTTGATTACAGGCAATGAGAGAGAAGTGTAAAAACACAGGCTGTCTGTTAATGAGCCTTTAAAGTCACTATCGCATTCATGAATCAGGAAGCCTTCTGACTGCTTTCTGGAACAATCTCTCCCAAAACCCAGAGAGCTGCTGAATAACAAAAAGAATAGTTCCGGATGTAATTTGCATCAGTCGGCGGCACTAGATGTGCTGTTTGCATCCCGCTGAAGGAAAATGGACAGTTAAAAATAAAAGCAGCCAAGCATTGTCAGTAAGTTTCCAAGGCGATCATAAAAAATGTTCAATAGAATTGATGACATGCCAGCCAACACAGTGGGATGTAATGCATTTTAAACAGACGCAATCATCTCAGATTGGCCACTTTGTCATCAGCTTTGAATCTGGTAATTGCTGGCAGCTCAACTAAAAGAGAATAATCAATATGAAAGAGGGCAACAAAACAAAGAGAAAATAAGCACTTTTCTGGAAAGCAGAGATAAATGTAACCCTTACAACAAGCTGGACCAGCACCATGAAAGAGTAGGGATGACTGAGGACTGGGATGTGTTAGTGGGTACTTCAATAACAACATCACCATACTGAAATACTCTATTACAAGTAGAACTCCCTTGATGAGAACATTTCTGAGAGGATTTTGGCTTGTTATGATGGAAATCCACACTCATGACTCGTTATGATTGTTAAAGACAATTAGATAGAATGCTGACCATTTCTGTAAAGTTATCTATTAATTATAAGGGAACAATATGTACGTTATGGGGTCATGGGGCCAAACTGAACCCTTGCTCTGTTCCACTATCCCTGGAGTAAGACTTGCTTTAAATCTCCAACTTGTTGTAATTTTTAACATGATTCTGTCGTCAAACATCCAGTGCCAAATAAACTTCTCCACAGTTTGTTTTCTGAAAAGTTGTGTTTTTGCTCATGCATCTTTTATGTATATTGAGCTTGTTTGCCATTAATGCAATTGTTTGGACTCTTTGCAGCATGTTTCAGACATTGCATCTGTTTTGAACTTTGCATATGTGCTTTTGAAAATTGCATCGTTTCTGAATGTGCTGCACATTTTTTTAAAAGTTGTTTCAGCTGTTGCTGTCAGTAGCTACCTTATAAAGTAGCATGTTTAGAGTAACATGTAATTCATTGATTGTATCCATGACCTGATCGTTCTAAATTTCACAATATTCCTTTTTTCGCGAACTGACTTATCAACTCGTCATTCTTGGCTTTTAACTCAAATTTTGTGTTGTTTTGTAGTTAAGTGTTTGAATTTGTATCATTTAAAAAGTTCACTTTTTGTTTGCAATCTTTGCTCTTCGCTGCTGTAACAATGTAAAGTTCCCCGTTGTGGGATAAATAAAGGATTATCTTATCTTATCTTATCTTAAGTTATTTCATGTAAGAACATTTTAACAGGTCAAAATGAGACACAACAATATCTATCAGGAAGTAAAGTAAAAACTGTTTTTCTATGAATTATAGTGGAGTAGAACTATAATTTGTCAATGAACAAGACTAATCAAATAAAGTGCAGACACCTGAAATGTGTTTGACGTACATTCCACCCGTGGTGTGCGGCCGTTTGTGTGTGCATGTGTGTGTGTGTGTTTGTTACTCACAGACTTTGTCGTAGCTCTGCTGTATCTCTTGATGTTCCCAGCGATTGAAGGTTCTTCTCTAATGTGACAACTGGAGAAAAAATAAAACAAAAAGTGCACACTGGGTTCACAAACACACTCTTACTCATGCCACTTAACTCGGAAAGGAATCTGTGCATTTTCTATCACCTTACTCTAAAACTAATTAAGGTCTTAACTAAATTCACATCTTAATTAAAAATGACTTTAACCCTGATCTACAGCTATCACTCATGCACATAATCTTAATTTAACCCTGGTACTTATTTTCTAAAGGCTACACTTAGATGCTCTAAAACTACTTTAACTTGTACCCTGTTCTAACAACCACTCAGTTGCTAAAATAAAGCCATGGATCTTACCCAACCCTTATTTTAATTTAAAATATACTTTTATTAATGGTACCTCAGCCTTTCTTTAATGAAATAGAACTTTCTTAATTTATACCCAAATCACACTGCTGGACTAGGTCATATCTAAGCCTTCTTTAGGAATGTACACCCTCAATTCAGTACTTTATCTTATAGATCTTGGCCCTATAACACCTAATACTACTTTACTCTTCAACCCAGACCAAGCTCATCAGTGTGAATAATTCTTAAACCCACCCTTTAGCCTTTGCTTGACAAGGAAAGACAAGGAAAATTTAAATACAGCTACTTCCAACTCTTGACTTTTAAACAAGAATTAGCCTTTTGACATATTCATCTAAAATCATCTGAAGTCTTTACTTTGTCGTAAACCTTGAACTTTGCCCTTATCTACAGTATATTTTTAAAAAAATCTTATTTTTACCCAACAAGACTTTGACACCAAAGTCTTTAAACCAAACTAGACCAAATGTAAACGAAGGCCTATTATCCCTTCACAATAAGATGATGGCCAATCCAACATGATTACAATTCTACACTAAGACTTGGACGGTGGTGCTGTAAGCATTACCATTACCATTAACCATGATTGTGTTCAGGTCAGGACCCTTATCATACATGTAACGTTTTGTTAAGATTGAAGCATCTACAGCAGATTTATAAACCACTTCCTGTTTAATGGCAAAACATGCAAATTTGAGGACTCGTTGCCGCCACACTGTTTGAGTTTTTATACAGAAGACACTTTTTTTTAAATTACTTAAGCAAGTTCTTTGTAGCTGTGCAGCAAATTTGAGCTTGATTAAGATTATCCTCTTGGAGGAGTTAATCCAAGTATCACCCTTGGACATGGACCCTTACCCTAACCCACATAATTTTCAACTTCTCACCAAAATAGTTGACTTCCTGTTGAGTTCAGAGTTGGGCACATTTGGTTATAGCTCTGGACCTTTTACATATCTCTACCAAATGCTGTTCTTGTAGGTGAAAAACACTGCAAGGCGTACTTGATCAAACATTTATAGGTGGCCATGGAGGCATCTGGTAACATCCATTTGCATGATCGGTAGAGAATTTTATTTTTTACAACTTTCTCTCTGTTTGTAATGCTTCATGAGTTTATGAGAATATTTAGGCCCTCAAAAATGTAATTCATCTGTCTTACTTCGGTAAACTGTTTTTCAATAGGGCCTCTGAACTGTTATGAAAGTCAACCATATGCATTATTAAAGTTTAGTACAACTTTAACCATAAACCCAAGACAAAATGCTACGAACTATATAAACCTACATTTTAAACCTATTACTACTAACCATTTTGAGGAACAAAAATCCTTGAAACCAATTCCGGCCACATTGCAACCAATGTTCAAGCACTCATTTAAGAATTAAACTCACAGTTTGGTTCATTAAAAAAACATTAAACATGATTTAAGATAAGTACTAACTTAACCTTTGATATAATGCCAAATTAAACTTAATTTAGGTTTAATAATAATATCAATCATAATTCATCATTTAAAGTCTCACACTAGTTTAGCTCTTTTTTTTAAATGGTACTACACATTTCAAACACAAACTCACAATTTTTTAACTCAAACCTAAACTCAAGAGATAATGCTACAATTTCCTTGAAGCAGTTCTATGCTTGCTGTAAATCAGAACTGACTGAGCATTTTAAACCTGTTTTAATCCACGTACAATACTCAATTTATTACCTATTTCAAAGCCCTAATCCTGCTGACCTACTTTCATCTTTAAACCCAGATCCTTATCCTTTTGAAGACAGGTAGACTGGCCAAAATGTCCTTGATCAAAGGTCTTTGAGTATTACTGTTAGATAGGAGCACTCAAGGAAATGCACACACACAAGTACACACAGAGATACACACACACACACACACACACACACACACACACACACTTTTGCTGATGATTGGTATTTTTACCGTTGGCGTTGATCTGGAAGATATTGGAGGAGGTCTCCTGAAACACATCTTGCAGTTCTGAGGGGCTGACCTGTGTGGCTTTGGAGAGAAAACATGATATCAGCAAACACTTCTGAGCCCAGTGGAGTGTGACATTAAAGCAAGAAAAGAGCTGACAACACAGTAACAACATGAAGGGGCTACTGTGTTGAAACTACTGTGTTGGAACAAAAACAAAAATATATACAGTAAATGATTGTAATGTGTTGTGTAAATCAGACATGATATCTCATTGCTAATGAAGAAGTTAATTATCTGATTGGCCATCATTGTTGGGGAAGACATGATTATTAGAATGATACTGTTTCCTGGCTAGGCTGTTGACAGCAGACCCTATTTCTCTGGTGGTTGGTTCTTTCATTCTGTCTTTCCTATTTGAAATAAATAATAGTCTGGCTTCGGCATTTAAACTTCCCTCACCTCAGCTACCCACAAATTTGCTCAAACCTCAATAATGTGGCTCCAATAACTGACAGATCTGATAAGTAAAACTACATCCAACAAGAAAAACCCAGAGAGGAATAACTGACACAATGTCCGTGACCCTCTGGAGTCTGTGGTTATTCAGCTTTAACTGATGCTGTCAAAACAAGGACCAATCACACAGAGCTAAATTATGTTTCTTTCAGATGGTTATATGTCCTGCTCTTTATTTTACCCCCAAGGCAGTAAGCCAATTGATTCCAATGTTGGAGCTTCTTTTTTTTACTTATGTACTCTGAATAGTTGATGATCTGATTCATTTCACCAGTTGGTCATGCAGAACGAGTGCTACTTATGGGTACATGTGCACACAATTTTGCAATTGTGGATTGCAAAACCGAGCGGCAATCTCTGAAAAATGAAGCCAATTCGGCAGTGCAAAAAATGTCAGTTCCACAAATGTCCAATTTAGGCTGGCTGCAAATGCCTGGACGTGCCAATTACAACCAAAAGATAAAGGGCCCATTGTTGCAGCATGTGTTGTCAGACTGGTTCAAACACAATTATGGTCTGAAAAGCTAATTTCTTTATTGGCACAAACTTTATGGGGGATACATGTTTTGGTTTCTTTTAAAGCTAAAAGTTCTGCATACAAATGGATGTGGCTGATCTGACTGATTGGCAGGTGAGTTGTATCTATTTGTCAGGAGACTTAGTTAGTTTGAATCAGCATTTTCAATTTACAATATGGCAACCGCCATTGTAGGGCTTGGAAAGTCAAAAGTGACATCACTGAGAAAATGCTGCAAATGAAATCGTTCATGTGTATTTATCTAATGTATTCAACTATATCTAATTACACTCAATGTTGGCAACATTCACAGGACAGGTCCAGATAAACTTCCTATTTTAAGATATTACTAGCTAAAAAATAATACCTTAATGTGCAGGCATATGGAATTTGCTAGAATTACTAATTGCAGTGAGAGCTTGGTAACAAGTTGGTATCAATTTATTGTCTAAATATGGCAGCCATTTATTGCCAAAAAGCAATTTTTTGGTGAAATGGACTCTGCATGCTCATATTGGTTTATGTCATTTCTGGTACTTGAGGTTTTGGTTCCGTTTTGGTACCAGCAGCATGTAATTAAAGCAGCATTGCTCACTTTAAAATATCTCATTAGGAAAAAAAATTTTTTTTTTAAATGATTATTAGTAATGGTCCATTTTGCTACTCATGCAATATTCAGCTATCTGCTTTTTCAATTCAAACATTCATGAAATGTTAATTACTTCAGGGTCTGTGAACAAACGGAATTTAAAAGAATAAATGTGGAGAATGTAAAGAAGCAACAGAAGTTGCATTAATAAGAGACAGGAGATAGTAAGAAATCACAATTTAGAGTAATTATATTGAAACGTATTGTTAGTAAGATGAATAGTTGTGGAAATTGAATGGACTTCAAAGGCTGCGGGAGCTTGTAATGTAAAATCTAACTGCAGTGACGATGATGGAGTGGATTGGGGAAATGGCATGGCACTAAGCCACAGGCTGGCAGCAGGAGCGGTGAGGCTGCTGTATGTGGGCAGCACCATTTCCCTCTCTCTAAAGCACATGTCATTACAAATGACAGGGGGGTTAATGGCCCCGAGCCATTACAGCGGGATGAGATCAACATCACGACCTGTATAAGCAGCACGCTCAAGCCATCTCACCCACCTTTTTGTCAAATACTGCACGGTGCACCCATTAATGACTGCAATTGGCTTTTTTTTTTCTGACATGGACAAAAGTACAGGGGTGCAGATAAAATGTAGAGGTGTTCAAGTGCTGAAAAGTGATGTTATTGAGGAGACGGAGATTTAACATTGGCATTTCATGAAGAGGGATAGAGAAGGTAGAGGCAGAGACAAAGCAGAGTTGGACGGTGGAACAGGTATTCATGGTGTGGGATGGAGAAGAACTGTGAGACCTCCACTGTACATCCTGAGTCATTAACTCTACTCACTGAGCTGTAGTGACAAATGGTCCAGGTAATTACATGATTGCATGCAGTCAGTCGAGCAGCATTACACGATTGTGATACATGAGGAATTTTTCAACTGAGGAACCTTTAGTGCTCTCTCATGTACTCTCTATGTACACACACACACACATCTCTGCCATCAAGTCAGCCAACACGCCCATGTTGGGACTATTGACGGAATGTATGGAGGATGCGTCTGCATCTACTTCCATTTTTTACCAAATTTAACCCAAAATGCCCTCACCATGGTTGCTCACCTATTGCTCTGGTGACGTCATTTTGAGCCATGACATGCTCAGAGGGGATCTGGCTGGTGGCCACGCCTCGTCCCTTCAGCTTTACTTTCGCAAATAAGCGTCAGCGATCCCTCAAGTCATTGCAGTCCACAGAAAAACAGGCTTTTGAGTTGATTTGAAGCAGTCACTCTTTTCATCATGTTTTCTCGCGCCTTTCGTCATCTACACTGCAGGAGCTCTATTTGTAAGATCTGTAAATCATGACACTTACCGGTAATCCTCTTTTTCATATCAGAAAACTAATTAAATCCAAGGTTGTCAGAAAAACATTTTGAAAACGGAAAACTATGAGACTAACCACCATGATAGAATCCGGGATTGAGGGAAATTTATTTGAAGTGTGAACTAATTTCAAAATTGACCCTTTATCCCATCTGTTTGCATGGAGGAGGTGGGGGGAGCTCTAAATATTATTTTCACATTAAGGGGGCTTTTGTTTTATTCCTCTTTTAGTGTAGTTGATGGTAGGGACCAAATGATACCAAAACCATGTACCCAGCCAATTTACCATCAATTACCTCAATGGATAACCCAGATAACCCTTTTTTGGGCTAAACACAGGTGCCAATTAGATACATTGTTACCCACTTTGGACCCAACATGCACTAATGTTCTCTGTTTAAATGATTCCCAGTTGTAGAATTTGGCCATGTTGGCAGCAAAATAAGCCCACTTGCAGTTGAAGCCCATATCACCTAGGTAGGATTTGTGTGACCCTGACTAAACGGGTTTATGAAATATACTCCCCACAATGGAAAAATGTCCACTCTGTTTTGATTGATTGCATTTTTTCATCTTTCAGGGGGTATGTTCATGCTAAAACAGGGTGGTAAGTAGGAAAAAACTTTCTTCAAGATGCTGTAGCTCCGAGCTCTCAAACGTGTATATATTGTTATAGTATTGATTTTTACATTTGTAAAAAAAAAAATGCCAATTTTTTTTTAACCTGGAAAAAAGTCATTGAGTTAAAATGTATTTTTCAAGAGTGTCCTGGCAATGACAGGCAGCAGAACAAATAACATAGTTTCTGACAAACACCAGCAGCCATACTGTAAACATAATACAACGCAGCTTTCCTTTCCCTTCCATTTGGCTGATTTGATTGAAGCCATATTGGTACCAAATGAAGAGCCGTTCGGGAGGCGAAGCTCTGGTTGGTGATCTGAGCCAAATGATCTGGATCACCACTGAGATATCTTCTCAGTGACCTGTTACACTCATGGATTGGAATCTTGCCAATACCTGCAGACAGATGACATGAACCTTCTGCTTTTACATTGCAGCCAAGTTACAAGGCTTACATTGAACTCATGGAGGGATAAGTATAAGGAGCAGCTTGGGCAGCCCGTCACTGTGTGGGATGTGGTGTGTAGGAGTCTCCTTGTGGAGGAGTTGAGTAGTGAGGCAGGATCCTCATGGACTTGTTTAATCTCCATGTCAGACTTGTCCAATGCCATCGCCTCTGTCATCTGTGCCAAACTGATGTGAAGGGGGATGCTACTGCCCCCACTGCTCCAAGGCTGCCCCTGCCTGAATGAGTTAACATGGAGAAGTTACTGATTCTTCGGCATGGCAGGTAGAACATGTCGATTTATTATAAAAACTATCTGACACCAGAGTGGTGGCAGCACCAGAGACTGACTGTTGCTTTTTGATGAGTGCAGCATCGTGACCAGCCAAGCGGCAACCTCTGGTGTATTGAAAAAAATGTAACCAATGTTACAAGTGTCCACTTGAGGTTGGTTTCAAAAGACCTGGAAGTCCCACACTCAACACACAGCAGAAATAACCTGTTTACAGCCTGCTGATAAGTTTATGTCTTCATCAGCACACACTATTGGGAGGTGAGTTTTTAAAATAACTTGAAGGTTAAAAGTTATGCATAATTAGAGGAGGGCCCAATCTGACTGCAGGCAGCTTTGATTTAGAGGTTTGTCAGTAGACTTAAGGCCTTGGCTCATCTCCATCTCTTTGGCTGTTATAAGGTTGACCTAAAGTTTGATAAAGCCAGAATTTCCAATATGGCAACCACCATGGATGGGTTTCTAAAACAGCTCATAAAGGCCCCGTCGGTCTGGAGTGCTTAAAAAAATAATTTTCAGCTCCTTAAATTAAATCTATAGAGCGTTAACACATCTGGAACTGCGTAGTGTGTATACAGTCAGAGCAAAAAAGCTGATGGCCTCAAAGAGTTAATGCTGTCAGGTTAAATAAATATCACTGATTAAATGAGTTATTCAGATCAGTGTTGGAGAACATCATGTTTTGTGATGCTAAACAAAAAGCTCAGTCA